CATATAAATGTGTCCGTGAAGTAGAAGACAATGAACACTTGTGGATGACAAGTGACATTGAGCTTGACATCAAGTACTGCCCGCTACATATCCAGCTTGACTCTGGCTCCGCCCCCTGTAGCACACAAAGGGGCCATTGTAGTTGGGCCACACCAGACTTGGAGCTACAAGGGAGCAGCAATCAATGTTCTACGATGTTAATTGACATCTAGTGAGAATAGATGTTTCCTGGCCATGGTGTGCAGTGATAGAGATAATATCTGGATCACAAAGCACTTGTTCCCAAGCCCCAATTCATGATTCCATAGATCCTAGTGGGAATCAGTTGGTGATCCACCTTATTGGCCTGTCAAGCCAGAATGACAGCCTGACAAAGCTATTCTCCCAGCCAGCAAAAACCGAGCCTTCCCAAGACTGTCAACAAACAAACCAAGGTGAACTCTGCCACTTGCAATCAATCCCAAAACTCTTGTTCTGGAAAGTCTGTGTACTCTTAAGTCTGGGCCTCAAGGGTCGAGATGAGCCGGATTGAGTGAGAAGAATGAGTTTGGATGCCCAACGTGCACTTTGAGAAGGTGGATGAAGTATTCCACTTCCAGACCCAGACAATGGGGAAAATCCTCCAATACCCTGATCAGACAATCATCCCACTGTATTGAATATGTGATAAGACTCTAGAGCTGATATTTTATCATGCATCTTTACATCCTGTAATTGATAATGTCGAGACATTGTGGCTACAGGTTGAAATGACCAACAGGCTCTACGTGAAGGTACACCAGTCCATACTCACCACCAAGCCCCATTATTGACCTTGCCTCCCTAAGCCATGACTGAACAAAACAAGGGATGATGGCCATGATTGGGTGTGCCTGTGGATATTAGAGATGGTCATGTTGGATCCGGATATCCGTGCGGATGCGGATACCCGCTGACAATTTCAGCGGAATCAGGCATCCGCATCCGCTTGCGGGTATCCGCTGGCACTGGCAGGTATCCGCACGGATATCCGCGGATACCCGCCCTCTTACTGGTTGACGCCGGCGAGGGGGATTTTTTTTACAAAAAACAAGAAAAGAACAATAACTGGCCCCCCTCATCATAGAGAGGAGAGGCCACGCCGCCGGGAGGAATCCCTCCACAGCGCGAGCTGGTGTAGTGTGTACATACCAGCTTGTCGGGAGGG